TTTACTTTTATTTTCTTGCAATTCTATCCATTGTGAACTTTGCGAATCAAATTAGTTTATAAATTGTCTTTAAACATATTTTATTTAATTTAATTTTACTTTTGTTAAAAATATGTTTGGCGAAACCAAAATTCATTCTCATTGAATTTTTCACATCTTAATTATAAAATATTTGTATTGAAAATAAAGTCAAATTTTTTTTCTCTTAGTGTCAAAAATGTTTACTAAGTATCTTATTCATTTCATTACGTTTAATTATTTTTATTTGTGTAGTATGTTATTATTTATTATTTGTGTTAATAAAAATATAATTTTTTGCAAAGGTTTTCATCATCCAATTTTAAAATTTTAATCATCAATAAGTAAGTGAATCAATAAGTGTATCATTATATTTAGCACACTAAGAGATATCCATATCCTTATAATACCAAGGGGCACAAATTATATTCATTTGGTCCCAAACATTATTTAAAAACATAAATATTAATATGTTGCAAATTTTCACTTCATTGCAACAATTTTATTATTGCATGCTGCTATTTTCATTTGAACCAACACAAATGTTATCGTAGACTTTCAATTCATTGCAACAATTTTACCATTTTTCATCAGAACCAACACTTCATTTTATTTGCTCAACGGTGTTAAAAGTCCACTAAATCGTCATTCCTAGCCTTAACTATTATGATTATTTATTTATTAATATGGTTTACCTCATTTTTCTTTTTGTATTTTGTTAGAATAGGTGTTAAAAAGACATATAAAAATGTATATATTTTTTTAATCTAGTGACAAATTATTCTTTATCCATTTACGTGCATCCTAGTTTAGTAGTTTGTATAAATTTCATGAAAGGTGGGTCCATAGGTGCAATCCTGGACACAAATTTCTTTTAAACTTTCATTTTTATATTTTGATAAATTCTTTTGAACTTCCATTGCCGACAACAAATTCTAAAGAGACGGAAAGTATAAGTTTTTCATGCTGTGGAGTCGCTAAAGGCTCAACCAATAGAATATAGGTTTATAAAAAATTTTATTATCTAATATTCTTATTATTAATTATAAAGAAAATACAACAAGACCAGATGCTCTTGATATGTAATCTCTACAATTTAATTCATCTTATATTAATTTATATCTAAATAATAATTATTTTTCATCGCAGCGACCTTTTTCCTCCACTTTCCTACCTTTTAACTAATTTCAACTAATATTTTGGAGGATCTGCACATCTGTTGAAATAAACAGTGTCATGTTTCCATTTAATAACATCTGATCCTTATTTAATTGATAAATAAATCTAATATTTTTTTTAAAAATACTAAAATCTGTACAACATTAGGTTGTCAATATATTGTGTTGTAGTTTGTTTTATCGTTTTAAAATCACTTTAGAATAAACCTAAAAACCTACCCACGTAAATTTATGATAAAGACAAATAATAGAGAAAATTTAAAATTCCTCCTAATAACTACTAATAATCACTTTAGAATAAAACTAAAAATTGTATACTTTTTCAGTGGTGCATTGAAGTATAATGTACTTTAGAATAAAACTGAAAAATCTAACTGCCTAAATTTATGAAAAAGACAAAAATAGAGAAATTTTAAAATTCGTTCTGGTTTTATAGCTAATATATCTATTTATATAGAATATTAAATTAAAATAGATTTTGTTCTTCAACAATAATTAGGAGTCGATTAAATATAAATTAATTAGTAATATTTAATTCATATATAATTCTTAGGGCTTTAGTAGTTAGGTCTAGTAAAAAATCAAATCTAATTAAACTTAATACTTTCTACTTTAAATACTTACAAAAGTATAGATATAGATATACCAAATTTATAGGTTAAGAATGGGTCGGCGTCAAACTTTCTTGTCCATGTGAAAGACTATCTTCATCACTCCGGCCTAGCTAGGGACGTTTGCTTATGCGTATTTTTTCTTAAAAATAAGATTATACGCATGGTTAGTGTTTCACTTACGTAACCTTGTGTAAAAGGTGGTCATTATTAACCAACTCCTTTATTATTATTATTATTATTATTATTATTTATTATTTTTATCATTGGTTAGAAACTCACGCATTGTTACTTTGCTCCTTTTAAGATTTGAACCCTTACTATCCACTTTGAGAGATAAAAATGATACTACCAAGTTAGATGCCCTTGGTATTATTAACTAACTTAAAAATCATGAAATTAACAAATTTCAAAGTTAAAGTACAAAAGCATGAGTTTTTTCGATAATTATAATTGATCCATGATCGTATCATATAATGTATTCTATAATTTTAGATGGCTCAGAGTTCAAACAGCAAATTCATTAAAGGTAAAATATTTAACACTATTTTAAATTATACAAGTTTTAAATTACAATACTATCATTTATGAATTACAATATTATAGATATTATTGTACATAATAATAAAAATAATTTAAAACTTTATTTTTCATTCACTCATAGTGAACTTTATTATTCTATTCTATTTCATGCAATTGAACAAAAAGAAGAAAAGACGCCAATTCTTATGGATTCCTTCTTGTCTCCCGTCCTTCTATTTTTTTCTTTCTTACCCAGTGGAGCATTAAAAATATATATATATATATATATATATATATATATATATATATAATTGTGTTTAATAAAATTATTCTGTTTTTTACTTTAGAAAAAAATACTTTCATACCCCACAAGGCCTAAATAAAATAGGCTACCCAGCCCAATGGGCTAAAATATCATTGGTTAAAGAAAAAAAAAAAAACCTTCAAAAGGGGTGGCCCAAGTTAAACAAAACAAACAAACCCAAAATGTGTTACCATTGGCCCACCCATTAATCAACGAACCAAACTACCCTATACTAGACCTGGGCATAAGGGACTCTGGCATCGCTTGATGGAGAACAGCCGAAGCCGAATTGAATCAACAATGGAGATCAATATTTTCAGAGGAGGACCTGATTTATCTCTGAATATTCGATTATTTCTCTCCTTCCATAGATGATTGACAAAGCTATTAGGGTTTGTAAACATTTTAATGATAACATACTCCCACAAATTGAAATAGAGTAAAGTAAATAAGATTAATTCTTCTAAGTGATCATATGAGAAACAATTAAACTAGATTTATAAAGAGCTACAACATGGTTTATAATTAGTAGCATACTTGCATTTATAAAACTGATATAACAAAATCTTCAATCAACGGTTAAATTCGTGAAATGAATAATTAGAATATGAAGGTAAAGAAGAACAAACATAATGCATCTAATAATTCATGTTGTTGGGAAGAAAGTTTTTCCGGATTACTATCCTGAGGTTTTAATCTGAGTCTTTCTAAGCAATATATCAATTATTGCAAATTCATTATAGCCAATTTGCTCCTTTTTAACAATTACAAGTTGAATACTGATATGGATATATCAATTATTGCAAATTCATTATAGCCAATTTGCTTGTTTTTAACAATTACAAGTCGAATACTGATATGGATATATCATGTACCTTAGATATCTTGTACGTATTCATACATATACTCATGTATGTATACACAAGTGCAACTGTGCAAGTCTGCAAGGAGTCCAATGAGTAGCAGAATATAGATACTGAATCAATGAGTATATATTTTAGGGAAGGCACATAATTTTCACACCAACATTAACAAAAGTATACGTTGGAAATTAAACTTGATTATATGCAATTTAGTGTTTTTGTGAAGGTTACAAGCCCTTTAATATGGTGTGTTAGTGGGAGTTTGTATTTATGTTAGTGGAAGACATGAGAGTTAAGTCTACTAAATACTATGTTAGTGGGATTAGTGGGAGTAATTGGTTACATATGTCTTAGAGCTTGCATAAACTCATGTACTATACCTATTTTATGTGGAGAGAAAAGTTGAATAAGAATAAGTTGGGATTAATTGAAATAATATATTTCTTCCTCCATGTCTCAGAGCTTTATTTTATGAACTTTATTGTAGTACATTAAAATGCAATAAAGTTACTTAAGGTTAATCTGTTTATTCTAGGGTCATACTTCTTTTTAAGCCATGTCATTCTTTCCTTCTTCCTATTTTTCCCTGCTCAGTAACCAACCATGTTATTCCTCACTGCTCCTCTTCTTGCGGATGCAACCACTTATATGATCATGTTTGAATGAATCTTGTTTCCGTTGAAAGTACCTAGTCTTCTTTCAATTATCTTAATTGCTATTTACACCTATATTGAAAGATAAAGGGTTTATGCTTTCACTATGTTATTGTTGTTACGATTGCTTTTCACATAGGTTGACTAACATTGTAGTTGGTTTTAGTTCAACTCCAAGGGGATAGTTTAATGGGAGTTCAAATTCCTTATGGGACGTCTTCATGATTTTTTTTCGATAATTGTCTAGTGTGGATTGCATGTGTCCGATGGTAGACGATGGGGTGTTTCTAACACCACAATCGTCACAGAAAAAAATATATTAAACAAATTAAACTGCATAGTTGAGTTATGGAGTTCAGGTTTAAACTATTAAATGGTAAAGACAAGCTTTGACCCTGAAGTCTGCATTTTCCGGATCATTTTCCAAACAGTAATCTTCTTGAAGAATTACATCGTGTTAGGAAATAAAATGTAAATTGCAGGGATAATCTCCAACGAATAAACTAAACAACACAATCCACATTTGCATTTTATTCTTCTGAGTTTTTTACAGTATTTTTCTATTTTTAACGAGGTATATGTGTATCATTTGTCTTGGTATAGTAATATGGTGCTGAGCCAATTTTGATGGCCATAGGTCAGGCTGTCGTATAAGTTGGTTATTACTCGTACAATTGCTCTGAATTAATGTATCCATTTAGAATGACTCCATTCATTCTCAAAGCTCAAGTACTGATCAATATAACTCCATTACATCGATTACTGCTTCTTCTTCTTCTTCTTCATTTTTTTTTTTTTTTCGCTGCTTTCGTTCAAGCTCATTAAATTTAAAATGTGATTTCTTTGTGCAGGAATGTAGCACGAAGTGGGATGACACGCAGCACCCAGTAACAAGATGGAGTTACAGCAGTAATGAGTAATCTGCCTTGGCCTGGACTTTGGTTCTTTTTCTTCCTCCCATCTATTCCTTCTTTTACACTTTTGTGGTTGAGTATAAGATTATGACCAAATATTCTTCACTGAGTTTGTAAGAAAGTAAAAAAGTCGAGGAAGAAAACTTGTGGACAAATTGGCATTCTTCTGACTTAGAATGTCATTTATCCCTCTGCTTAGAATCAGTAAGAAAGAAAATGGAGGATGTTTGAAGTTGAGCTAACCTTTTTTTGGCAGAATTTATTGGAGTGGCAGTGGTTGTGTGGTTTTGTAGGTAGCTTGTTGGCAGTCCCTTGTGTTGCCTCTCATTTTACAGTCTCTATTTGTAATCTGCAGCTAGTTTGATTGTCATTGGTTCAGGTTTGTCAATATTCTTGTAATCATATAAATATCATAGTGCTCATGATTGTGTCTTATTCATTTATAGTTGTTGTTGTTTATGATTATTCTTAACACATCAATGCTTTGTAGTGGAATTCATATGCATTGGGCATTGAGGTTGTGTCATCTTCAAGGTTCCGAATGATGGAAGCGTATAAAGCACTATGCTTGAAAATGAAGTGATTCGAAAAAAGAGCTTGTGCTCATACTTGGCCAACTTGTTTAACCTTGGTGAAGCTTCACTCCCCATCATTCTCATAGCTTGTGCCTGTAGTACTGCGACTGCTTCTGCATCGATGTCATCTCTCACAAGTAATTTGAGTATGTCTTTTAAATCTTAGCCTCTTTTATTGTTGTTGCCATTCTTTTTCTACTCAAATGAAGAATTTGAGACAAGGGTGATAGAGGCGTTGTCCTTTAAATCTATTATATGAAGCAAACAACACAATCCCACTTTGACATGGTGCATATTTTCCGTTTTAAAAGATTATGTGAGGAAAGTTTTTAATGATATAGGGTAAATAGAAAATAAAAAGATTAATTTTCTAAATGATCACATGAGAACCATTAAACTAGATTTATGAAGAGATGCAAAATAGTTTATATTTGGTAGAATGTATAGAACTGATATTACAAAATCTTCCTGAAAGGATAGGTAGAATGTGAAGGTAAAGAAAAACAATCGGAATGGCATCTAATAATTCATTGTGGAGGTTTTCAGTTCAAGCCTTGATTTAAGCAAATATAAAATATATCCACTAAGCATGGTTTCAGACTTTTGCTAAATTTTCAGGCTTTCCATAATATAATAATCCTGGACGGACGGACTTGGGAACTATATATATATATATATACAGGTGTATATGTATATACAAGTGGGCAAGTGTAATATTTATGATATATATATATATATAACAAATAATGTTAAATGTTATTATAATTCGGCCGTGGGACCCACATGCATTTTTAGTTATTAAAATGTAAATACCCACTCCACCACATGGTATGATATTGTCCGCTTTGGGCCTGAACTGGCACGGTTTTGCTCTTAGGCTTCACCCCAAAAGGCCTCATACCAATTGGAGGTGACACACTTACATATAAGCACTTCACCTTTCCTCTACCCAGGCGATGTGGGACTTTGTACCCATAGCTCGCCAGTGTAGTAGCCTGACAGTGTCTCTCGCACCCGTCCACGGCACACTCGCCTACAAAATCATCACAATCCACCCCCTTTGAAGGCCCGACGTCCCCGTCGGCACACTTCCGGCTGGGTCAAGCTCTGATACCATTTGTAATGACCCACTCCACCACATGGTATGATATTGTCCACTTTGGGCCTGAGCCCGCACGGTTTTGCTCTTAGGCTTTACCCCAAAATGCCTCATACCAATTGGAGGTGACACACTTACATATAAGCACTTCACCTTTCCTCTACCCAGGCGATGTGGGACTGTGTACCCGTAGCTCGCCAGTGTGGTAGCCTGAGCGTGTCTCTCGCACCCGCCCACGGCAATTGTGATGACCTTGTGGGCGGGTGTGTCATGGGCGGGTGCGAGAGACACTGTCAGGCTATCACACTGGTGAGTTACGGGTGCACAGTCCCACATCGCCTGGGTAGAGGAAAGGTGAAGTGCTTATATGTAAGTGTGTCACCTCTAATTGGTATGAGGCCTTTTAGGGTAAAGTTTAAAAGCAAAACCGTGAGGGCTCAGGCCCAAAGCGGACAATATCATACCATGTGGTGGAGTGGGTCGTTACAAATGGTATTAGAGCCTGACCCAGCCGGAAGTGTGCCGACGGGGACGTCGGGCCTCCAAGGGGGTGGATTGTGATGACCTTGTGGGTGGGTGTGTCGTGGGCGGGTGCGAGAGACACTGTCAGGCTATCACACTGGCGAGCAACGGGTGCACAGTCCCACATCGCCTGGGTAGAGGAAAGGTGAAGTGCTTATATGTAAGTGTGTCACCTCCAATTGGTATGAGGCCTTTTGGGGTAAAGCTCAAGAGTAAAAGCGTGAGGGCTCAGGCCCAAAGCAGACAATATCATATCATGTGGTGGAGTGGGTCGTTACATTAAAATGACCCCGTCATTTTACAGACCACATTCTCTCTCTCTGTTGCTACGTTTTTTCTCTCCCTCTTTGGTTTCTATTTTTTTTTTTTCTTTTTCTTACACTAAAGTCTTGATTTCTCCTTCATCATTAGGAATTTTTGGGTGCCGTTTGTGGCAAATCGAAGAGCTTGGCGAGATCTTCAAGTGGGTGTAAGCAATTTCAGTTTTGGTGCACTTTAGGGATTTCAAATTTTTGGCTCACTTTGGGGATTTTGAGGCTTTTCTACAATTAAGAAGTAGGGGGTGCTCTAATCCACAATTTCTTAGATTTCTTGTGAATTTTTCCCTTAATTTGACTCTAAGCATGCTTAATTTTAATTATGTTGATTATGTTTGTTGTGGTTGTTGGTATTTAAGGTGATAAAGGCATGTTATGTGTTAAATGAACTTATGAATATGATTAAATTCTTATGGTGAAGAAGCATGCTTAGTGTTGATGTATTATATCCTCTATGATTTTAAATTGCAATGAAAAATGATGTTGTAGTTATGAAAATAAATAATTTTATTTTATGCCTCATGTAATTAAGTTGTTGGATTTACGAATTGAAATATGTAAAATGCCACGATTTAGAAATATGAGAATGTGATATTGTGTAAAAATTTATGTTTTAAACATGCCTAAATGATGTGGATGATATGTACGAAAATTTTAAATTGTCATAGCATTGAAGGAATTGCATAATTCATGCATGGCCATTGGGATAATAAAGGGGAAAGTTTGTTTTAAAAACAAATGAAATTATTTTTAGAAAAAGTTTTTGAAAACCGTACGCCTAGGAGGCGCCTAGTGGTCCGTGGTGTTAGTGTGGTCTAGAAAGGAGTATGGTTGAGCTAACTAGGCCGGATGCGACGCTTTGGAGGTGCCTTGTGGTCGTGGATAGTTAATCAACCCTCCATTCGTGACGCCTTGGAGGTGCCTTGGGTCGGATTACACTAACGGTTTGGAAGTTGAAACGGTATTGTTTCGGAAATGGGGAGCGACATGGCATGATATTGCATTGGCATACATTGTATATTTGGTGGTTAGATGACTTGCGTATGTATTTGTTGATTATTATCGTTACTTTGCTTGTTTTTCCCGAGATATGATTCCGTTCTCTCATATCCTATTCGTTGTATGGATTCATGGGGTCGTAAGAAGTGTGTCTTAGACGCTTCCTACTGAGCTTTATGCTCATCCCAACGTTTTAACATTTTTCAAGTCACGGGAAAGAAGTGGTTGATGACGTTCCTCCACAGGTTTTGAGGGGTTAGTGGACTGTCTTGGCATATTTTGTAGTGATGATCTTATTTTATTATTATTATTATTATTATTATTATTATTCTAATTTTATTTTTTATTTTTATAAACCCTGGGATGACACATATACTATGTATTGACATAGGAAAGGATAATAATGTCCTTAGTTGACCTCGGGTTCGGGTAAGAATTCGGTTAGCGATTCGAACCCTTGGGTTCGGGTCGTTACAGCAAGCTTGCAAGGAGTCTAATAATTCACAGAATATAGATCTTTGATTTGCAGAAGATAGATATTGAATCAAGATAATATGTTTTAGGAGTGGTACACATTTATCACACTAACATTATAATAAATTACCAAAAATATATAATATATATCTTTGTTTAACTTTATTTTTTTGAACTTTATTATAGTAGTGATCTTTTTCCATCGACAGCTTACGAAAACCCACTGCTCACTCTGTCTGCTTCTACCTGAATCTCATCTGCTTCAACTGAATTTAAAACCTTGTGGCAAAAAGGAAAAGGAGAAAAAAATGATTTTGAGCCGCCATGATGAAGAGAACTTCAAACAATTATGTTAAGAGAGAGCTTGAAAATATGAATTGTAATGTAAAATTGATATATTGAATTGATGCAATGAAAATGTTATGTATTGATACAAGATTACAAACCTATTTATAGGTGAGGATTATGAGATTGGTGAATGGTAGGTGTGTTATGTCAATGGTGGTGTGCTACATAGAAGGATGGTGTACTACAATGTCAAGGATGGTTGTGTGCTACAAGAAGATGGTGTGTACTAATGTCAAGGATATGGTGTAATATATAATTCTAACAAATTATATGGCGGAAAATGTAAGTAGATATAATATTCGTTACTTAATTAAGGTCATCTATATGATCCTTCCTTATGACATAAGAAAACACATTTGATGTCTTTTAATTCATATATACTACTTCCTTGGGTAGCTTTATTTAAAATAAAATAAAATAAATAAATAAATAAAAAAACAACTGACATAAAGAAGAAATAATTAAATTATTCGTTATTATCACATTATGCTAAGAATGAATGGTAATTGGTTATATATTCTCGATGCTCTAATTATAATTAAGAAAACCATGCATAGGTCAAGCACTATGCTTAAGAATATTGCTATAATAAATTTCCATTTCCAATTTGCAATAAGAGAATATCTCAAATGTTTCATTTAGACAAGAACCAAAGGAGCAAAATCAAATACCTAAAGTAGTCATTCATAGGAGCTGAAATATATAGTTCATTGTTTAAACTAGATATGTGCGTGGGTGTATTCATGTGATAAATATATAAATATATATAGACATATATGTGTGTGTCTGTATATGTGTTTGGAGAGATATAGAGAGAGACTAACCATTTTAGAGAGGAAATTATCCTCCCATTTCATCTTTCTGGAACTTTCTCCGCACCCAAGCTTCCTTCAGTGCAACTGCCACTAGTAGGTTGTTGCAAGTATTCTCCACAAACTGAAACCATGCATACCTCCAAGACTTTTTGAAATGCAAAATGCCACAAATTGCCAAGAAGCCAACCAAGAAACCCGGTCCAATGGCAGTATAGATTGCCATTCGTTCCGTCTTATCTTCTTCATCTTTACTCTCAGGAACATGTGGATCATGATGACCAATATCAGACGAAGTATCACCATGGCAACTCTTCAAGATTTGTGGTCCGCAAAGTTGATTGTTGCCCATATAGATGGATGATGGATCATCGAGTGTTTGGAGTTGATTTCTTGTTGGTATTGGACCTGACAAGTTGTTGAATGACAAGTTCAAGTAGCTTAAGAAGTTCAAAGCGGACAAGCTTGGAGGGATTGAACCAGAAAGTTTGTTTGTGGACAAATCAAGTGATTCCAAAGCTTTCATATTTCCAATCTTCTCTGGGATGCTTCCATTTAGATGATTTTTGGATCCGTTGAAACTCCGCAGCCCAATAAGATCCATCAACTCTTCAGGAATCTCTCCAACTATCTGTTTGTTTGAAACATCTATAGATGTGAGAAATTGGAGTGTGTTAGTGTATTCAAGTTCAACTCCTTTAATGATATTTAACATTTTCTCTGTGTATTGTGGATACCGAATCTCTGTAAGTTCCGCATTGAGATTCGCAACCATGGCAGTGAAGTTGGCAAAGCAGCGAGGAATACTTCCACTTATATAGTTATGTGACAGGTCTAACACTTGAAGAGCAGAGAGGTGGCAAAGCTGCAGAGAAATATAACCATGGAACTTATTCGATCGAAGAATGAGAAATCGTAGATTAGACATTTCTCCAATCCATGATGGGATAATACCAGTTAATTTATTATCACCTAGATCGAGAATGCTCAGAGATTTCAAATTCTGCAAAGATGAAGGGATCTTCCCGTGAAACATGTTGTTGCGCAAATGTAAAGAATAAAGATATTGTAGAGAACCCAAAGAACTTGGAATATCACTATCGAGATTGTTATTCGTCAGATCAAGCACTAACAGTACATTCAAGTCCCCCATGCACCAAGGGAGTGTTCCTGATATTTTATTTTTCGAGAGATCAAGAATTTGCAGAGTCATCATCTTGCATATGTACTTGGAATTTCACCAGTCAAATTGTTATTTGAGCGACGAAGAACTTCAAATGTGACGAATATTTTCATCATCAAGAGAAAAATTTCCTGAAAGTAAGTTGTCGGACAAATCTAATTTCCTAACATCTGACATAAATGGTGTTAAGGGGCCCTCAAACTTGTTGGAATTCAAATATAGATACCGGCTATAGATAGAATTAGATTCTTGAAACTTGGGCAGCTTTCCACAAATCTGGTTGTGAGATATATTTAAGGTGCGGATACGAGAATACAAATTCTCAAACCAGTCAAGGATGGTAACAAAGATATTTGCATTGGAAATTTCCAAATCTTCAACACGTTTCTGGGTTTGAAGCCATGGAGGAAATTGGGGTCCCAATTTGCAGGAAGACATATGAATAAATTGGAGTTGAAAAGGAGGAACCCATTGGATGCTCACATTCATAATTAACAAGTTTGAGGACATGTCCAAGTGTACTAACCTTGTGAGTTTGGCAAAGTGAAGTTCACATAAGACACCATCCAAAGAATTGTCAGAGACATCTAACCACTCTAGCCTTGAAAGTTGTCCAAGACTCGAAGGAATGCTCCCATTCAACTGATTATCAGATGCAGATAACCATCTTAATGATGACAGTCTTCCAATTGATGCTGGGATTGGACCACTAAATAAATTGTCAGATATATAAAACACCTCTAGCATCCTAAACTCTCCCAACTGATTTGGCAGAAAACCACTGAACTTGTTTGATCCAAGAAGTAACTCCTTTAAACTTTTTTGGAGGCAAGTAGACGTATTTCCCTGAAAAAATGGTACCTCTCCGGTGAATTCGTTATTAGACAAATTGAAACTGTGCAAGCTGCAGAGATTCCTTATGGTGTTTGGTATTTCACCTTCTAACTCGTTGTCAGAGAGGTGTGAAGGACAGTAAGTTGTGTAAGATTGCCTATCTCACTTGGGAGTGAACCTTCAAAGTTATTAAACGAGAGATCAAGGACTGTGAGAGAAGTCAAGTTCCAAAGGCAAGGAAGAATTGGACCTCCGAAACTTACACCAGAGAGTCCCAAATGAACAAGGCTCCTCAACTCGAGAAGAGCTTTAAGCTCAACCTCTGTGCAGCTTACATTTGATTGATGATCATCTCTACTGATTTGCAACCCAACACCAACTCCCAATTCTATGAAAATAAGAGTGAATCAAGGATGGCAATCAAACCCTTGATTCACTCTTATTTTTTGATGTTACATAGACACTTCTTAGTAAAGATAGAATCTCTAGACCGGCCATATGAACTCTCTTAGGAAGAATTTGTGTTGTCTGATTGAAAAATTGCAGTAAAAAATATTGTTTTGATGACAGAAAATCAAAGTACTGAGATTTAGTAATAGTAATTTTTCAAAAAGTTAGTACGAAGAAATTGATCATTATTGGTCTACCTCATGGAACTTCATTTCTCAGAAATTTGATAGAGGAACCTTTGAGATTTATTATTAAATTTCTCTTTGTGTGTGTGGGTACCAAGTACACATGAAAAGCATTATTCTGTTCACTTTATTTTTTTTTTTCAGTCAAATTTCACTTTAAGAATTTCCTGGCCCATTGCTTTTTTCTGCTGCAAATTATTTTCCTTCGATTATAACTTTAGATGAAGTAACATAGAAAATGTTGGAGTCCAATTTCATACCAGTTGGCGTTTGTAATTTTAGATACAGTTATTAGTTTCAAGTGATTTAACAGTTTGTATCCCTTTTTAATGTTTCAAATAATCAGTTGTGAAAGGTAATTTCAAGAACAAGCATGTAAAAAACATTACATGCTATTATCTGGAGATTTCCTTTGATTGTAACTTCATTTTTCAGTAGTTTGCCAGAGGAATTCCCGGAGATTTCTCAACTCTTTCTTTGCGTGTGCGTGTGAAAAGCATTGTTTGTTCTTTTGAGTCAATGGTTAAAAAATTATATGCAGAAGAATCATCACCTCACTTTTTGTTAGTCAAATTTCATTTTAAGAATTCACATGCACTTTTTCCTTTCTTCTATTGCAAATCATTTTCCATGATGTGATTGTAACTTTAGATGAACAAGTAACATAAAAAGTGTCAAGTGTTCCAGTCCATTTTCATACCAGTCGGTCTTTGTAATTATAGATGTAGTATTAATTTTAAGTAGGGTTTCCTCTTAAGTGTAAAATAATCAACTCAATTGATAGGTATTTGGCTTTGAAGGTTTCTATGAACCACCATATAAAGCAATTTTACATGCTATCATCTGGCATCTGCTTTCCCCTCCAGCCCCTTTTCTGATCACCCATGCTTAGTGTCTTAGTAGCGACGAGTATAAGTAATATACATAATTTAATAGGGGCAATCTTACAATTTTAATAAAAATTAGGTCCATGCCTGTTTGTAGGCCTTTGTAATAATACGATGTTATACGGGGTATTTGTTCATTTTCATACCGGACTACCAATTGGCTTTTGTAATTATAGATCTAGTATTAAAGGAAAGGACTTGGGTAGAGCCCAAACCCACGAAAAAGGCCCAAATGGACTTGCAAAGAGAAATCAAGCAAATGATTTCTCTCATTTGGTTGCATTCCAATAATTATGGATGGATTGTCTGGATCGATAGACTTTCACGTATGGCTAAAGTACGTTAGTGTGATTGTTGTTGTTCTCAGTGTTGGATGTTATTTTTTTTTTTTAAATCTATGTTAAGGGTATTATTGTAAGAAAAAATCATGGTAACTCTGGTTTTTCTTACCTTAATATAGATAAGAAAAATGTCTAACTTCTAACACTAGTATGTTCAATATTAGTTATTGACGGTAGATAATTGCTTAAATGGAAAAATAAGTCATAATAAATGGGAAACATTTGTCAGCTATCAACCACTGAGCTAGCCCTAGCTCATAGGTTTTCCAGACAGTTTAAGTTGTTACTGTTATTTTTTAAATGATGAATAGCCAGCAGGTCGGATTTTAATATGTTTCGTTTATGCTCATAAGTGGATGATTAACTTAGAGTTTCAGCTTTTTAATGCAAAAAAGTCACTATTAGAGTTCCATATATTGTCATAGAAGCATAGGTGCCCTTTTAATTTTATTCTTCTTTAGTTTGAGAAGATTAGAAAACTTGAGAATTTAGATACGCTTATTTATGAATAATTATTTCATATACGCAGTTTCCTGGATAGACTTGGAAACTGATATGGATATATCATGTACCATAACTATCTTGTACATATACACATGTTTATCTATATGCAAGTGCCACAATGCAAGCCTGCAAGGAGTCTAATAATTTGCAGAATATAGATGTCAAATATTCTTCACTGAATATGTCAAGAAAGTAAAAAAGTCGAGGAAGAAAACTTGTGGACGAATTGGCATACTTCTGACTTAGACTGTCCTTTATCCCTCTGCTTACAATCAGCAAGAATGAAAATGGAGGATATTTGAAGTTGAGCTAACCTTTTTTTGGCAGAATTTATTGGAGTGTGTTGTTGTACAGGTAGCTTGTTGGCATTCCCTTGTGTTGCCTCTCATTTTACAGTCTATATTTGTAATCTGCAGCTAGTTTGATTGTCATTGGTTCAGGTTTGTCAATATTCTTGTAATCATATAAATATCATAGTTCTCATGATTGTCTCCTATTCATTTATAGTAGTTGTTGTTTATGATTATTCTCTACACATCAATACTTTGTAGTGGAATTCGTATGCATTGGGCATTGAGGTTGTGTCATCTTCAAGGCTCCGAATGATGGAAGCTTATAAAGCACTGTGCTTGAAAATGAAGTGATTCGAAAAAGAGCTTGTTTCTCGCAGTTGGCCAACATGTTTAACCTTGGTGAAGTTATTATTATTAGCTTTTTAAGTATTCTTTTTGAGGAATGCTAATTATAGTTGCAGATGTGATTGGTTAAAAAAATAAGTATAATTAATACATTCTTCTACTTTTATGAAGCATTAAAATCTTAATTTTATAAGACAATATTATCCTCTTTTATTTATTGACTATTATTTTCTTTCCTCCTTCAATAGTATATCTATATATATATAACATATGTATGTATATAGTTAATATTATGTCAATGCATTTTTTTTTTTATAATTAAATCATTCATTTATATAATTTAAAAATAACAAAAACTCAATTATACAATTGTACTTCAACTAATATTCAACCACTCTACTTCTCTCTTCGTTTCTCTCTTTACTAAATCATTCACTTAGAAACTAAAACTCAATTATACAATTTTACGTCAAAGAAAATTTAATTTTATAATTTACTTTAATTAAAATTTACACTTATAAAAATTCACGTCTAAAGTATAAATAAATAATATTTAATATATGCAAAATTCATTATCAATAAAAAGAGTACGGAAAAAAAGAAGAAGAAAAGAATGAATCCGTCGGTTTAAGGACAATTCAAATGAAAAATAAATAAATAAATAAAAGGATTTAATTATATACAATATATATGTAATATCTGTAAATTAAAAAGAAAAAGAAAAAGAGAAAAGAAAAGAATTTTTGGTGGGTCCCACCACTAAGCCTTAAGTGGCTAGAGACCATTTTTGGTCTCTCATATCTATCTCTCTCACTCAATTTTCTATTTCATTTTCTTTTCTTTTTTAACCCAATTTTTGAGGCAAGATTTCTTCTTCGTTACTTGGCGGATTTAGGTGTCGTTTGAGGCAAAACGACAAGCACGACGAGCTCTACGTGCTAGTACCAGAAATTCCAGCTTTTGGTCCTCTTTGGGAGCTCGAATTTAAGAACCAATTTCTAAGAATTTTGCTCATTTTGAGGTAGGGGCATCTTAATCCACTCATTTCTTGTTCTATTGTGAATTACACCTCCTTGTTGTGTCAAACATGTTTAATTGGAAGTTAATTGTATCTATGAATGTATGAATGATGTCTAGAGAATTTTCAAGAAATTGTTTCATGTGTAAAATATGTTTAGATGTTGTTTTATC